CACACTATCCTTTCCCCTTTCCAGGAACCCACTTGAAGAAATCGAAGCAGTATTTAGAAGCTAATCTCTTTTTATATTTTTTACACTTTTTATAGTTTTAAGTCACTAACTATACTTTTAAAATTAAATTTATTAATAGCAAGAACAAAATTTTTTAAAAAGTATCCTCTCTTAACAAATCTAATGCAAATTTTTATATCAAATAACATTTTTATATACAGGAATTTATACTAATTTGTATCCACACGTTTGTATCCACATTTTACAAAATCAATAAAATTCCAAAAACTGAGACTAAAATTTGCTTCTAGCATTTAAGTAAATGTAAAATTATAACAATTAAATTAAATTCAATTAAAATTCAATTACAATTAAATTAAAATTAAATATATTATTATTTTATGAATTGTTAGTAATAGAATCTCTTACTTCTACTCTCTTCCTCGACACCTTGTTGAAAGGCACCATTGCACCAGCAATACTTGTATTTGTAATCAAGCATATTTATATTTTGAATATTCACAAATTTATATTTGCAAAGACTAAAATTAAAATTAAAATAAAAATAAAATATTCATCTTTCTATTGTTATTACTGTTAACTTTTTTATTTTATACTGGCTTTAGTGAAAGAAAAAATTAAAATCAAATGACAATATTAAAATTAAAACTATTGATAATGTTATAAAATAATAAGAGTTTAATTAAAACAAACATTTATATATATAAATACACACACACACAAACACATTCATATACACACACAGTCACGGCAAACGGATTTATGCACCGTGTTTATTGGTGTTAGTTTATTAATATTAAATTGATATTTTGTTATTTAATATATATATATAAATATATTTTATATAAGTTATAACCAAAAAAAAAAAAAATAAAATATTAATATTAAAACCAAATAATATCGAACACAATATTATGTAAATTAGTTTACTATTTTTAGTATAAAAACTAAACTATTTTTGACTAACCGATATTTATATTATTAAATTATGTTTAGCATTAAGTCTTATACAGAAATGTTTGTATTTAACATTTAAATCTGAAATGCTATATTGAGGTTAAAAAACAAAACCGAAACAAAATAAATATTTTTATTAGCAAATAAAATATCAATGCAAATGTTAATTTTATTTCAAACTAACATTGGGTTTTTCTTTAATTTTTGAATATTGCTTTTTAATTTAATATTATTTATTTTAATTTATTTCTATTAACGCTTTTGGGTGCTGTTTTTATTAAATGAATTTCAAGTTAAATTTCATGAATAACTCTTCTACTGGTGGTTTGTATTGAACGATTTGCATTTAAATAAAATAAATAACATAAGCAGTGCATTATCTGTTATCTATTATCTAAAAGTTTATTCGAAAAAAATCTACGTTTTGGAATCGTTTTTAGAAAATTACTTACAGTAGTTTAGGTATGTATATGCATAAATATATCTATAGCCTATACATAAAAACTTCATGTGTTTATAAATGAAATGATTAGCAATCGCGCTTCAAAATTTATTTCTCTGCATAAGAAAAAAAGGATTATATTATTTTTAGTCAAGCGGTTATATGCTATATGTGACGCAGAAATATACTTTTGAGATATATAATAAAGCTGTTAATAATACATAATCCTATGCATAGTACTACCTTCATAATACATAATCCTATGCATAGTACTACCTTCATAATAGTCATAGTACCTATGAATAGGATAATTTCAATAATTTTCATCCTCGAAAATTAGCATTATCTAATTTTTAAGTTGGCAACTAGGGCTAGTAAAATATACCACTTGGAGAGCTATGCATATTACGCCCTACATAATAATAATAATATGAAATTTCGTTTTAGTTAGCTATGCATATTACGCCCTACATAATAATAATAATATGAAATCTCAGTAACGAAACGATTTAGTATGATTACTAAATAGTTTTAAATCAGCAAATTCTTCCATAAAATAGTGCTCATACGTGGTATATGAGAACCTTAACGGTAGGTTACATTAATAACATTTCTAACACTCAACAATGTACAAGGCCGCAAAAAAGAATCCAGGTTATTCACAATCCTTATCGCTTAAACTATAAATGTGTGAGTTAAGCTTTTGGGTTTCGTACAATGGGGTTCTTCTTATTTCCGAAATAAATTTAATCACTTGTTAGACATTCTACCAATGGTATTTATCACACTGTGTGATAGAAGTATTTATTTATCTTTAATAAAAATGAAATTATTTTTTCGTTTTCTAAATGTTTCAATGATTTAAGGTTAATTTGGGGCTGCTGAACTTAAAAGCCCTATCTATTTCACTACTGAACATCTGGAGCTAGGAAAGATATCTTAGGCCAAACGATCTTTTTAAGAATTGTTTTTAATCATTGAAAATCCACTTTTCTTTTTCATATAATACTAATCATGACAAGGATCAACCTACTAAATTATTTTGTTTTAAAATCCAAATTAACAAATTGAAGTGGATTATTAGGAGTTTCATTTTGATAAACAATTCTGTGTTAATGTTAAAATTGTAGTAGTCTGTTTTGTCGATGCTTATTCCTATACCGTTGTGACGTGAACTATTTCGAATTTTATTATCTAGTATAGTTATAGAGTAGTGTATTTTCACGACATTAATTGTTCTACGAAAATTTGTAATATTAATGTTATATTTTAATATAAATTTAGTCAGGTTTGGTTAGTTTAGGTTAAGTTAAGTCAGTGTTTCGTGTCGAGATTGATTATTAAATTTTTAGATTATGTAGTTAGGTCGGTTTGTGGCACTTTATTGGAGAAACTTGATATGTACTGTTTATTAGTGTTAAATGCTTAATAATACTTGATCAACGTGGAATAATATTTAAGAAATCTTAAACAAACACGATACCAATGAAGACAGAACGTTACGACCCAATTATACACCAACATAATATGACATGTCGACAGCTGCAACAACTTGATACTACAATAAAAAGTTTTGTTAGCACTTACAGCTACAGCTACATTACTAAGTATACTAAGATATTTCTGTACATTAATTTAAGTATTATTAAGTAGTAATCATAAGTGTCTATTACACAGTAATTTTCACCTTAAAGGAAATACAAACTTACCGCTCAACACACTTAATCTGAACCCGTAGCAATGCCTGGTGGTAAGCTACATAAATCCCAGTCATACCTAAGCGATACCAAATAAAGCTGAGTTTCTAGGCAGTTTTCCAGTAGGTATCTTATAGAATATTAATACTTTTTGTTAACATAGGGCTGCTGGAATCCTTACTTCAAACTTTCAGAATTGTGGAGTGTGTTTGGGCATTCAACATCTAATCATTTGGAGCGAGCGTGTTCTTGACAACACAGTGCATTAACACAAAAATATGTTGTTCCAAAGATGTTTCGTTTTTTCATGCGAAAAGTATATTTCAGAAAATATTATTTATCACTTTTAATTGAAGTGAGCATTTGGATTATTTGTTTAATACCAGCATGCGCCGCGTTTAATTATTTGTCACTCTTTTGCTTTCTTAACTGTAATCATTACTTCATTATCCTTGAGTGTACTTCAATTAAGGAACAATTAAAAAAATTAAATTTTACTTTTATTTCCATGATGGCTTCAGTCTAAGGAAGTGTCTTTCTCGCAACTATTAAATTAAAACCCAAACCGCAGAAAGCAGAGTGAGCTTAAATTGTTCGTACTTTTGAACGTAAGGCGGTATTTCTATTAATTTTTTTTGTTTTTAGTAATTTTATTACATTTAGCTTGAAATTGCTCTTCTTAGTTATACTTTCAATTCCACTTTAATTTGGAATTTGTCTTTCATTGGAACAAAGTTAAAATTCTACTTGAGTGATTTATGTTTTCCAATTTACACGTAGTTAAGAAGTTTTAGCTTTTTTTCTACGTTTCAGCTTCACGTTCTCCTTGTGAAAAGTTATTCCTTTCACATGAAACTTTATTATATTTGTTTTACTTTTTTTTATATTTTTATATTGCAATGAGTCCTTGAGTTTTTGTGACGTATTTGTCCTTAGATTTCTTTAAATGAACTTTCTTTCCACTTACCAACGCAGCCAAAGTATTTAGACGTGATAAACTTGTACGCTGTAGTCCTGGCAGATTTATTCAACAATTTGCATGGAGTTTTTCCACTTAGTTTTTTTTTTAATTTTTTTTGTTATTTTTTTTTTTATTTTTTTTGTGTTACTAATATTTCAAGTTGCCTAAAATTGTTTAAAAGGAATTTACTTATTGTTCACACATTTTGCGCATTGAATCATTGGAATGGAATGTATTAGAAGAAAGTTTCATCATAAATTTAATATGACATAAATAAGGCAACCAAATTTTAATTGAAATGCTGCCCGTGAAGGGTATAAAAATGAAAGAAGCATCATAAAATTGTCTATATAGAGATATTTATATATACACGATATAAACTTTAAACAAGTATGTGTTAATAATTAAGTGTTAAAATTACTAACATTGTTCGAACATAAATTAAATTGTTTGAGTTGATAGTGTATGCATTTGCATTTTAAGTTTCAATTACTTCATAAACACTTTTAATTTTTATAAAATAAGTCATTACAACATTTTAGATTCTAAGTGCATTATTGGATTTTGATTTGCAAATATTTACAAAAACAAATTATAAGTACAAAACATTGCATCCACAATGCATCCATCCTCATCATCAGCAACATTTAGTGCAGAAATGTGACTAACCAAAACTCATGCATCACAAATAAAACAAAAAAGTATGTGTTTTAAAATGATTATTTTCTATATTAATTTTTGTGTTGCAGTATTCGAACACTCTTTATAAACAATTTTCATAAATATTTTTATATTTTTCTCTTTTGTTTAATTTTGTAAAATCACACAATATTGCAATAATTGCAACATTTTGTTAACTCTTAAAAACACAAATGGCAAAATGCACTTTTGTTCATTAAACCGTAAAACTCTAACAAAAAAGTGTTGGCAAAAATTTAAATGCACCAAGAAGTCCTGCACAAGAAGTTAGTAGTACCACAACAAATACAACAGCAATAGCAATGACAACAACAACAACGACAATGACAACAATACAAACAACAAAACCAGCTGCAACAGTCATAACAAAACCAATGTCACATAATAAAAAGGAAACTAAGGTATCCGCACATATGAGCTCAAGTAAGTTACCCACAAAACACACAGATGCGACGACAATGTCAACAACAGTCCACCAGGAACCACCCACGCCCGAAGCAAACAGTTGCGCATCAACAGTAACATCACTACCAACAAAACAAAATCAACAGCAGCAACAGCAAAAACAAGCACTATACAAGCAACAAAAAAAGCAAAATACAATACCACAACAGCAACACCAGCAACAGCAACAACACCAACAACAAGAACAACAGCTGCAACAGCAACAAACTGATAATATTAAAAAACCGTCATTGCTGCCAAAACCAAAAGTTAAAGTGGTTATACCACCGGCATTGTTGCAACAACAATTGTTGTTACAAGAACAACACCAGCAGCAACATGAAGAAGAGGAAACCGTAACATCGCCAACATCACCAACACCGCTAACCAGTCGCATACCAGTCCGCACACCAAATGTCATTGAGAAACGCGAAACATTAAATGCAAGAACTGCAATACCCGCAAATGTTGCCACTGACGCCAACGTGGAGGATGCAGCTATTGGTGCTAGTGTCAGTGCTGACGACGCTCTTATTGCTTCAATTGTGAGTGCCGATGCTGCGAATTTGACTTTTGATGCCGAGCAGCAACAAGAGACTCCAACAAAATACGCCAAGAGCAGAAAAATGCTTAAGTAAGTTTCTTTATGCAATTTTCGTATCCAAACCCACAAAACCAAAACTGAAAACGAATAAAACGTCGCGACGCTCGACACAGAGCTATTCCAGACCTTCTTTCACCTACTCAGATATATTTTTAATGACAAAAAAAAGGTATTACATGTAGTATAAAATAGTACGAGTATTTAATCGTTCGTTCTCAAGGTAAAGCGTTTATCACAATTTTTTTTAATATCTTTTATGCACTAAGCTTTAATTGTTCAAATTGTAAATCTATGTAAATTATTTGAATCTTCTCACTTTATCTCTTATTTGCAATCCTGTGCATATAATATCTTTAGCTGGTGTTAGTAGCTCCTTCACTGTGTAAAATTTTACTGCGTGTAAGGGTAGCAATTGCAAATACGTTTAAGACTTATTATTTTTTTTTTTGTATATATAATTTTTTTAATTAAACTTAAAAAGGAAATCGGTTTCAATTTTTTTTTGTTTTTGTTAAATCATCTTCAATCTCCTTTCGTTTTGTCATAATTTTTATATTTTTAATTAATTTTTAAATAAATTTAATCTGCAGTGCTGAAAAACGTGCCTCTTGGCGTGCTGCTCGTCTACGCTCTCTGGAACAAGGCGCTGTCGAAGCTCAGAATGTCATAAAAAACATGAACAAAATTGCCGATGATTTGCTGACAGAACCAAAAGCAACTAAGGTTAGTATCCTCAATGGATTGGTTTTAGTTTCATCTAGGTTTTAAATGTTTATAAACATAATTATTTTTATTTTAATCAAACCATTTTAGTACATTGGTGCCCTACAGAAAATTATTCTCTAACATATACTTGAAATTATTTAAAAATGATTTAACTCATTAAAATATTCCCAATTTTATTTATGTTTATTTTGTTTGTTTTGGACTAATTAACAAACAATTTCATTAAATGTGTTTAAAGTGCATTTGAGAACCGCATGCGAGAAAAAGCAATTAACTAAAAGGATTCAAGGATTAACTAAAAAATAATTTCTAACAAAGTGTCCTTAAATACATATCGCATATTTTTGTGTTTTTGGTACTAATGCTTAAAACTAAACAACCTCAAAACGAGCTCTTATTAAATTTTAAAAAATTATGTTATTAATTTTTTAATTTATTAAATATAATTTTAAATAAGTAAATTATTAATTTTTTTATAGAAAGGTTTTCAAATAGTTAATATCTTGTAGGCTCAACAGATAAAGTCGACTATATGATTAGTTTAATATTATTTTATTAACATTTTATTAATTATTTTATTTATATTATATTAGCAGATAAAGATTAGCAGATAAAAAATTTTATATAATTTTTTTAAAATTCTCTTTATTATTTCTGTTTATATTATATTATCAAATAAGGTTAACAGTATGATAATCAACATTTAATATTATTTTATTAGCATTTTATTTATAATTCCTTTTTATATTATATTATCAGATAAAGTTAATCATATGATAACTAAAAAATCGTATTCATTTAACAGCATTTTATTTATTATTTTTATTATAATATCAAATCTTTTATAGGATGTCCCTTATTAAAACGCGCTTAAATATATGTGATGATTCCTTGCTTCAAGAAATCATATGATAAAGTAAAATGGGATTTTATATATTTATCGAGATAAAATATGTTAAAATAATTTTCTCGAAAAAAATCTTGCAAAGAAACCTAAATATTTTAAGAATGAAATAAGGTTGTCATTGATAATGTTGCTCATACGCACTGTTGTTCCATTTTTGAAAAAGTTTAAAATTGGGAACCCCTTTATAAAAGGTACAAAATGCCTTTTTTAAACTATTAACTTTTAAACTATTAAAGCAATAATAAATCTTTAATATATAAAAAAATTCGTTTTTAATTTCTAGGAAAAATACAGAAATTTTTTGTTGAAAAATTAGTTTTGGGTTAAAATAATTTTAAAAACAATTTAAAAATATAATAAGTGACGCCACACTTATAAAATTATATTTAATTCACTAAATATGGCATGAGTTCATTTTTTTATGATTTATTTTATGACTGACGAAGTCATAAGATTTTTATTTTAAAATATTTTTTTTAAATTGGAAATACCCTCTCAGTCTCTTATATATTATACATATTAATTAGTGCAAAACAGCTGTAATAATTATTTACAAAAATGCATCGAGTTAGAATTTAATAAATCATTTTGAATTATTGATGATAGCAAACCTTTTTTATTATATGGATATAACATTCTTTTAATATTTTTTTAATTGAATATTTGGGGTGCCTTGAGTATACGTTCGATACCACTGGGTTGAATTCCTATCCTAACTGAAAGTAGGAAGATCTATGATATCAACAATCTTTTAAAGCTTTATTTAGACCTTTTAATTATTTATCATATCCAAACTTTTACTTACATTGAAGTTTTTTGAGAGTATATAAGGTATATTTATTTCTTTAGAGTTTTACTTTTTGACTATTTTATTATGGTTTTGTAAGTTTTTCTCTATATTCAAATATGTTGATAATTAATAGTAACATCATCCAGATATTAAGTCGAAGAGATTTAAGTCGAAAAGGATATAGGTAATTCTAAACTCTCAAAGCGTTTATAATAACTAATATATTTTCACATATAACTGTAACAATTTATCGTCTCTTTAGGTTTTAAAATGAAGTTTAGCTCGAATTAATATCAAACCTTTTTTTATGATTTTTTTTTATATATTATGATATTAAAACTGTTTTAATATTGGATACACTGGTAATTTATTATACGTATATATAGATATAATTAAAATTTTTTATATTATGTATTTTTACATCAACTGTATTACTTGTAATTTTAATTATTTATTATTTTTATTTATTTATTATTTTTAATCATTATTTCTAATTATTATTTTTAATTTTTATTTTTAATTTTTATTTTTAATTAATATTGTTAATTGTTATTTTTAATTATTATTTTTATTTTTAATTATTATTTTTAATTGTTATTTATATATATTACATTGTATTACTTATTTAAACATCTTTTTTATAATTTCTACTTTAATTTATAAAAATAAATCGAATAATTCTAATTAAAAGAAGCGATAGTGTTTTTTGTAAGATCTAAATTAGAATAAGATCTTAGTTAATTTTAGATCTTATATGAAATTTTATCTACATTTTTCTTTTGCTAATATGAAATAAAATATTTTTTATTTAAATTATTATTACTCAGTATTAATTTATTTTTTTTTAATTGTATAATTAAATAGTTATTTAATAAAATTGATTTATTTAAGTTTATTCACATTTTAAAAATAAACGTGCACTTGAAAACTATAAATCAAAATATAAGAAGCTGCTGGTAGGGAAGGGGCTTACTTTATATAAATATATAAAAAAAAGTTCGTAATAACTTTGTTTAAATAGCTTATAAATTTATTTCTATAAATTATGTATATGAATTATTTCAGTATTCCCTCCTTTTATGTATTGAATTTTTTATTTATAGCAGGCTAAAAAGATTGTATTTCCTAAAATCGCTATTAAATCTAGTGATGGACCTGTCGTTATACGCGAACGTGAAAAAATACTCGATGAGAAAATTGTTCGCCGTACTGAAGAGGTGCCATGTCCTGTTACAGGACGGCCTCAGTTGCGAACTGTTGAATATATTGAGAAAATCATCGAAACTGAGGTTAGAAAAAATACCAAAAAATAAAAAAAAATTTTAAATTTATCTAAAATTTAAACCTTAGAATTTTTGTGCATTCGTAAAATAAAAATAATAATTTGGTTAATTTTAATTTTGGCAATTTTTTGGATTTTGGTTTGTGAGATTCTACGTTCGTTGTACGAGTATTTGTAGTGTGTTTATACATAAATCTTTATTTAATTCATATGTACCTAAGGTACGCAAGTAAAGTTAATTGAACATTTGAAAAGGTTTTCGGTTGCATAATTTACACTTAACTACAGCAAATGTTAGCCACATAAAGCTATAATAAACACAACGCATGGTTATGCACAGATACAATTCAATATTTTTGTTGCACTTGATTTCAAAGCACACATCTTGCAAATTCACCCACTCATCCATATGCACACGTTCATATTTATCTTTATCTAGAAAATAGAAAAACATTCAAAGTAGCTATTTCCAGAAGAGCAACACCAAATTACACTAAAGCTTGTTTCTAACTCGAATCGTTTGCTGTACATTGTAAGATATTTTTGTTTAGATATGTAATTTGTGTTCCTAAATGTACGAGTTGTAGAATTAAGACACTTTAAAGTATTGTATGATATATCGCCAAAGTTTACAAAACTCAAAACTTATAAATATTATTATTAGTTCTATTTTTAGCATAACTTATTATTAAAATATGTATTTGTATTTGACATTATGGGTGTGGGCTGTACCTTAAAATAGATTTCATGTGATACATATATATATATAGTAACATAATTTATAAAATTTTTCTTTTATTTGTATAAAATTATCTATTATTATCACTTTCTCTATTATCACTTTCCGCCTTTGGCGTCCAGAAGAGATAGGTTATTAGGAAGGTGTTTCTTTGACAGATTATCAGACTGTAAGCTGATATAGTAAAGACGACGGTAAAGACGAAAGATCTATTTAATCATCTAAATTCGTCGGGATAAAGTATGTATTCTTCCATATTAGAGTTTCGTGCGAGGATCGCGGTAGCAAAACGGTGAAAAAGTGCTAATTGAGGTACATACACTCAGAAAAATAACTTGGTTGACTTAACTAGGTCTCAAGTCAAAATATTCTTACTCGATGTATCATGTTGGTTCAACCATATAACATGTTGGTTTTCATATCTTCCTTACTACGTTAGTTAAAATTTCTCTGACAAAATGATCAGGTCAATTTAACTTTTATGTGGTTAGAACATATTTTTCTGAGGGGTAAAAGTTGTCTGATATATGTATATATTTTTCAGTAGTTTCTTAAAAAATTCTATTTAGATGAAAAATTATTGTCATGGGTGGATAATTTTTGTGAAACAAAGACTCCTGCCACGGACAATCCATGAATGAGTGAATCGTCCGTATGTCATGTTATTGCAGTACTTTTCTTACTTCACTAATGGAATCTCCTATTAAGCGCATACTACTTTTGATGTGGAAACTTTAGTAAAGCCGACTTCAGTTTTATGATTATATGGAAGAACTTAGACCCTTTTGGTTGTATAGCTCTCTTAAATAAACAAGAATTGACTGATCAGGAATGTCCACAAGAAAAAATTATCACAGTACTTTTTTTTGGTTATTTTACGAATATGCTATAATATGAGGGAATATATTTATGCATATTCTTTATATAAATTACTAATACATATATTATATAATTTATGAGTTTATCATAGCTATAATCATAGATATTATGACTTTTTGATATACGAGTGCCATAATACCTTATTTTCCTTTTTTGATTCTTATGAATTTTGTTTATATTATTCCACTAAAACCGAATAAATAAATTTTGCCTTATTCTGAATATTTTCCTGTAGTTTTTCCATATCGTTATTGATGTTTCCTTGCTTGTTTGTTAACAATTTTCAATTTTCTTGAAAATTTAATAAAATTTCGCAAATTGTCGTATTCATCACTATAAATACCACAGACAGACAGTATTACAGTATTACAGTATTGGCAGCAAAAAATGCTGTCTCCGTAAGTTTTTATTGTTAAAGTCAACAATTGAGCTGAACAAATTTTAGGAAATAAATAAAAAAGTGTCTTCAACTACATACGAGATCCTATATATATTTACTTATCCACAAATTGCACAACACCAACTGCAAATTCCAAACAAATGAGTACGTAACCGTAAAGTGAAGTTGTTTGCTTTCTTCCTTTGCCGAAGATATTGTCAGGATTTTTGCAAGAATGTAAAGTCAGTCATATGTATTACTCATAGATATTTGTCTATCTTTAAAATTTTAAGTAAAAATAATATGTATATAATAATATAATAATTGTGATAATGATACTTCACCTAATAGGGTACACGGTTTAGTTATAGTTTGTTTTATATACAATTATAAAACTTGCTTTCCTTTAGTTCTTAGTTATGTGAAGCCACTGGTTTAAGCTGAAATGTTTAAAACTTAACTATGGTAAAGCTAAAAAAGTAAGTACAAATTCATGTGGTGTCATTTTCTTTTTGCTTGGTGACAATTCCGTTCACAAGTGTGGTTCTGTTCACACAAAAAATGTATATTTTTCCTACTTCTGTGTGTCGTTTCCGCCTTCCATCCAGCAGTATTTTTGGGTTTCTTATGGTATCCACTAACTTTGTAGTTAGTTTGCAAGTGCGAAAGTATGAACTTGCATTTTCTTATGCCGTGCAACAGTACAACTTCGTTTCATATCCTTAAAACCAAATTTGTAGTTTGGCACTGTTGCAATGCATAATGACATTCAATGTGCTTTTGCCATCTCTGCCACTTGCCAAAGAGCCACATTGCCAGTGACCTAAATATTCCTCCACAATATTGACTTTCTTAGTGACGTTTCTGTACTTTTTCCCATGTAAAATACTTGAAAAATATTTCTGCGTATGTGGTGTAGTCCAAGCACTCTTACCCATTATCATGGTTTGCTTTTTTTTGTTGTAAATTATTCGTTTGTTTTACACATTTCCTGTTATTCGAAGGAATCTTTTAAAGTTGAATTTTAAATAAATAAAAACATGCACTTATTTGTACTATATAGTATATATGAAATGTAATAAGCAATTTTGAGTTGTTATATGCATATATTGATAGTTGTTAGAAGGAAATATAAATGTCACTGAAAATTTAAATAACATTTTAAAATAGTTGAAACATTCTTTGATTTGGACTCTTGTACATATTCTGAGTTTATAGGTTGTTAAGTGTTTCTCACAATTACTTTCTGCTCAAAAAGTATCCGGATTTTGTTGTTTGTTAACTACTCCTTAAGTAATAGACGTTTTTCAAAAACTTTTTGTTATGTTGGTACACCCTTTCTTGACATATGGTACGAATTTGAGCGCCTTCTGGCAATTAGTTTGATTATAGAAGCTGTTAATGTGAGACTACCTTAAGTGCATTTAGCGATTTTAACTATCGAAAATTCTCGTTGTACACGATTTTTTGACCAAACACGGCACCACTCTCATCGCTCAGGCACCATATTCGCCAGATCTGGATCCGTGCGACTTTTCCCTGTTCCCGAAACTCAAATTGCCCCTTCGTGGTAAGCGTTTTGAGTCGATTGAATCGGTAAAAGAGAATTCGCTGAAGGAACTAAAAGCTATACCTTCACGGGCCTACGAAAAGTGTATGGAATATTGGGTTAAGCGTTGGTATATGTGCATCGCTTCAGAAGGAGCATATCTTGAAGGAGATAAAATAAATTTAGAATAAAATTTAAATCTGCGTGTTTTATTTACAAAATCCTGGTACTTTTTGAGCTGGAGGTAGTATGATGTGCCCGGGTCAAAAACGTTGTTAATTATAATTAAGTAAATTTAATATATAGTTATATTCAAAACCTTTTTACGATTAAGCATTTTGTTATTACAAAATCTGATCTGACATCCGATATTTGCACGGCACATCATATATTACATATTGTTTTTCGTTCGAATCGTATAAGTGGCTGTAAGCGAATTTAGTACATTTCAAATACAATCGATTATGTTTCACACATGATCGCTAACTGTTGATTGTATGTTCATCGCATAACACAATTCAAACGCAGATAGTTAGTTAGTTAGTTGAAATGGAGGCAGGAATAAATCCTCTAAGAAAGCCCATTTGAATCCACGAATCCTCGTTATAATGGGTAATATAATGGGTCCAGCTAAAACTAGCCAGAAGCATTTTTAAAGGCGAGAGTCTGGCCAATGCTAATGCTGGAGATATCGCTGAGTGTGTTAAAGAAGGATCTTCTAAAGACTTCAGCCTAGTTCTGGTCAAGCTTTGACAAAGATTATCCTTAACCTAAAGCGTAAAATCCCGGAACTGCGACTTCACTTCAATTCTAGAATTAGCTTCGATTTTAGTTTAATCTAACTTTTGATTTCAAGAGTTGAAAGTTAAGTTAGTTAAGTTAACTTTTGATTTGTTCTCATATCCTCTTTCGAATATAGTTCCTCCTGTCCAAGATTAAGCAATCGCAATGCGAATGTTATCCAAAAGTTATCAAATATGTTCATTGCGTATATTAAGTTGCAATACTTAATCAAAACACTAATGTCTTTGTTAATCGGCATTGAAAATATCAGAAGTGATTACTAAAAAATACACTAACATCTTGACTTGTTACCAAAGATCATTTGTAGTCCCTTTGAAAGACTAAGCTCTCTTTTTGATAGACGCCACCTATTTGTCAAAGCAAAAGTATTCCCATCATCTATTATAATTATTTAACAATTTAGATATCCTTTTTTTCACCTTCTTTTTACAAAATGTACTTAGAGTGTTCTCTAGGATGATTTTCAATCACTGTTAGTTTTAAAAAACCTTATAAACAATTATAATGGTTGACTAATTGCGGGAAGATCTGATGAAAAATATTATGAGGAAAAAAATATGAGGAATCATGTAAACAAATTATTAATATATATATATATTTAATCCTTTAACTCCTAGGAGGAGCATAGGGCCGTATTAAAAAATACTAGGAACTTAATAAATTATAAAACAGTATTACATATATTGTAAGTTAAGTATGAACATGAATGAGTATTCGTTAATATGTACATAATTAAATTTTTATATTGCTTATTGTTATAAATTATTTAAAATTTTAATATTTTCAGTTTTATATTAGAAAATTATTATAAAGTACATACTCCTGTCTTATTTCTGCACATATGTATAAAATCTTTAAATAACTTGCATGTTTTTAAATTATTTTTCATTTTCATAAAAAATATTTATTTCTTAAAAATTTCTTTATAATAAATTCAAAAAATTTGTAAATAAGTATGAAATTTGAAATATGGAAAACTGCTTTTACATTGAAATTTTTGTTGCTGTATCATAAATAAACGCTTTTTATTGCAATTTAATTTAATAAATTTATTTATACATTCTCTGTATTTTTGCTTAAATGAATTTCTGTAAATATTTTTACTTACTTCAATGTTGTAGAAAAACAAATATATGCTCAAATATTTACATTTCAATTGATTCAGGTGGAAACTTGTCGTGAGAGAGTAATTTCACTCGAACTTCAAGATCCAGAAAAGGATGACTCACCGTACACATCTCTTGTAATGACTGACGTTGCTAGTCTCGATGATGAAGAACCACCAGAGCTATTAAAAGAAATTGAAAGTGGCGAAAAAATGCAAGTTGTTAGTAATGATGAAGATGAAGAAGAAGAAGAAGACGAGGAAGAGGAAGAGGAAGAAGAAGAGGATGCAGCTTCTATTGTCACAGTACATGCAAATAATGAGAAATTATATTTACGTACCGATGATGAGTTATTGCATTCCGATGATTTTGATAGTAGTACATTCGGTCCTTCATCAATTGAAAGCATATCATCAACAAAAGTTGCGATGAAACCACCTTCAATCAGTTTACATCAAACTTTAGCAAAAGAAGTTATAATACATCCAACTGAAGAAATAAATAGAAAACAACAAACAACACATACCATAGTTGAAGTGGTCAATCCTATTATCACAGGTGAAGGGAAAGTAAAGAGTATTTCAGTTGGACGTGCTGTAGAGTGTGAATATCCATCATTTGATAATGATGAAGAAAATAATTATAAAATACAACAAAAACTTGATGAAATAACAGCAACAACAACTAATGATGCTGCTACCAAAAGCCATTTGGACGATGACAATAATGAGCAGGAAGATGAAGCGGACTATGAATTTCCTACATCAAGTGATTTGATGCGAAGTGACACATTTGTGCTTCCCTCTTCACAGCAGCCGCCACAACAGGAACTTTCATTAAATGCGAAAATGAAAAATGTCCTTGTTGAATTATTGGAAAATGAACGTGTAAAATTGTATTTGCAAAAAAGCCTTGAAGAGGATGAGGACAAAAAGTCAGATGTAAATGATGATGATGATGATGATGATGATGATGAAGTTGATTATGTACGTGTACAAAAGAATTTAACATACAAATCCGGTGAATGTGGCGGTAGTATTAATGATAATCAAAAACTAATCGATGAGTTAGTGAGAGATAGTAATCGAAATAGGGTAACCCAAATGAAAGGCAATTTAGTTAGCAATATTGTAGTTGATGAAGATGATGACGATGATGAGGAAGATGATGACGATGATGAGGAAGATTCAGAAGATTCTGATGATACTGATTCTGATGATGAAGATGATGATGATGATGACACCATACACATATCATTTGTAGATGGTTGCAAAATAATCGAAAATCCTAATATTGATACTCCATTGAAGCTTCAAAAGTCACAAACTTATACAACAATGAAAGAAGCAGCCGAAGCAGCTGAAGCTGTTGAGGAAAATAAAACCGCTGAAACAGCTGATGCTGCTAAGGTAACGAAATCGGTACAAGTCGTCACACCATCCAATGAAAATGAAATAAGTGATTTAGTGAAACCAATTGACATTGTTGAAAAAGCAGAAAGTGAATATAGAGAAAAGAAATTACATTTAGAAAAACCAGTTAATGTAGAAGAAGTAGTGGAAGAAGTTAAATTAGAAGATACAGTAGAAAAATTACAGGCTGAACAAAGAAAACTTGAGGAAATCACAAAGCAATTAAGAAAATCAGTTGAAAATTTGCTAACTGATGATTTAATGGATGAGGAAGATGCTGATGAAACCGAACTAAAATCTAAAGATAAACAAAAAGGTAGTAAAATCATTAAAACGCGAGAAGTAATAACTACACCTGGTAAGGGCGAAACACGAACAACTGTTACTGAAGTCATCAAAGCAACAAGAATACCACAAAGGATTGACACATCAGGCAGTGAAGAGACGGGTGAAGAAATTTTTAACAGACTTCTTAGTGCCGGTGGGGATTTAAAAGAAATTTTTGACCAACAAACTGGAGAAACAGTGACGACAACCACGACGACAGATACAGAGAGTGGTGGCACCATTGTTACAACGACGACAACCATATCTAATATAGTCACTAGTGGCATACCGAGAACTGTTGTCAAAGAGAAGACGAGCACCGAAAGTGGGAGCAGTAAATTACCAACAGCAACGAATCGAGTTAATAAAAATGGAAAACAGCAACAGCAACAAAATAAACAAAAACGCAAAGGTAAAAATGGCAAAAAATAAATTTACACTTGTAAGATTAAAAGCGACGCATCCGTGGTACAAATCCTTAAGGAAAGGTGGGTTATACGAAAATTCGAGAGAAAATTATTAAGATAAAAATTTATATGCATTCTATTAGAACTTTATATCGAAATTTAAAATATAATTAATTTCAGTGTTTATACATTGTATTTTTTTATAACTCAAGAATTATTTATTGATATTAATGTGAACAATAAATAAAATTAATAGTTTTTTCTTCGCGAAAAACAGCAACAAACTTTAATTTTTATAATTAATCAATTAAATGTTTTCAAAATTAATTTGTTAACAATTGCCATTAATTAAATCATTGTAACTAATCGTAAAGTTTAAAATTTTGCTTGCATTTAATCCCACAATCCTTCATTAAAATCTAAAACAAAATTTCATTTACTAAGTTTAAATAAAATATTTGTTTATTTATTGTTTTATTTTCTTTACCAAAACAATCATTTATTTTTGTCACTTTTATGTAATAATTTATCCATAAATCTTTTTAGCTTAAGAAGAAAGATAGCTGCTGAAATTTGCAATAATTCACAGCTTGGAACTCCCACAAAACTCTCGATTATTAACCGGTCATGTATAATGTTTAGTTTTAGGATAAAACGATTTTAAATATGTAAGCGCTGTCAATCTGTAGCATTCCGTTCTTTTGTGTATTATCTTTAGGTTATATTGTAATTCCATGTACTCTATATGTCCTGACTAAAGTAAGCCATTAAAAAAAAAACAAAATTGGCATGCCTGAGCAAAACTTTATCTCTCAATTAACTAACAATTTAGTAAGTAAAATTAGATAAATGATAATTAAACGATGCACAATATTGTGGTAAGTTAAGAAGTATATAAAACATACATTTATATATATACATAAATCTATAAATAAATATAACGAAATAATGTATTGATTATATTGTATACGTTAAGATATATATACTATGTAATTTTGTAATATTAAAATTTGTATCAATTTTTTTCAAAATTTTTAGTAATATACATGTATGAAAATGATATCAAATAAAATAAAATTTTTAATAAAATAAATATTTATAAATTTTATTCTCTCACTAAATTAAAGTAAGTATACATTTAGATGATATGTAAATATGAAGGGAAGCTTTTTATAAAACTTTTTTTTGTTAAATAGAGCATTATCCATATCGCGGTCCTGACGTTACACCCATTTGATTATAAATTTTTTTGGGGTAAAAATAACGATTTATGATTTCATCAGGTAATGCTTACATTCTTGTGAAGGTTAGGTTAAGTTGAGAAGGCGCGTGGTCACAGTTATTAGCACTTCCACTCGGAGGAATATATTGTCCATTGTAAAGCCCTCATAGACTTTGTTGTCTTCGTGTACTATCCTTGTTAAACCATTTGGTTTTCTAAATGAAGTTAAGGAGATCCAACATTTTAATAACTTCATCGAATAGGCACAGAGAGAGACTGATAAAGGTTTTAATGCTATTAACAAATGCGGGACTTAAATTAGCACAAGATAACTGCATATTTTTTCTGATAAACTTAAGTATATGGGTCATGCCATGGACAAAAATGGACTGCACACTTGTCCACTCTAGGTCAAGGATATCGAAAAAACACATTGTCCAAGAAGTGTTAAAGAGCTTCAAAATTTTTTAGGAGCGATTCATTTTTATAAGATGTTTATGCCCGAGGTAGCAACTTCAAATGCACCCTAATGTGATTTTTTGAAAACATCAGAAAGCTTCGAATTTACAGCATTGTATAAAGAAGAAGAAGATAATCTTAAAAACAGTTTAAGAAATAGTGAAGGTATGGTTTATTTTAACCCTAATTTTAGAACAAGAGTTGTTGTAATAGCCAGTTTTATCACAAATATTGGAAAGTGGCATTTAAGTTCCAATTAAATTCGCGAAAACTCTGGGACGTGAAAGAACGTTATTCACAACTAGACAAAGCAATCTTATTTGGAGTGAAGAAATTTCACCACTATATTTATGGTAGATTATTCATATTTATAACAGATAATAAATCATTATTTTCGGTCCCAAAGAGGACATACCAGCCTGGTCGCAAACAGGCTGCAACATACAGCTATAGCTTTGTTGTCGTGTTACATGTTTAATATTGTTCGCAGATTATTTCTCTAACATTCAAAAAATGATAAAGTTTTCAACAGGATAAAAGAATTGGTACGGAAGAAGTGGTCTATTATTTGTAGCGATCTATGTTTAAAACCATTTTTATCATGAAATTATGAAATTTGTGAAGAATAGAGCTGTTTTTTTTTGGGTGACAGAATAATTATTCCTAGCTGTCTTCAAAAGTCGATTTGTAAGTTCTTGCATGAAATTCATTTGTATTAACAAAATCAAAAATATGGCTACAGCTTGAGTCGGTGGTCTGATCATGAAGATTTAGAAGCACTTTTATTAAATCATAGTAATTGTATTTAGTATATAAGAACTTAACTAATAATTATTAGTTTGTAATAATATTTAATATAAAATATTCAAATTAGTTGCAGAATGCTTACTCTTTACATGCCGTCTTTTTGTATGACTTAAGCGTTGCAGCCAACTTGTATCCTTTTTGATACAAGAATATAGAATGATAATCGCATTGAGTTCTTTTAAAAACTCCTTTCCTTATATATTCAGAAAACATTTTCAAAATTAGAGTTTTAGATATTCAATATATTTTTGTCATATATGTCCAAAATTATGTGGATCTATCAGCTTAGCTTACATAAAACTGGACTTAGTTCTTCTAAAACTAATATCATTAATAGACCAAGATAAGAATATTAATGTTTATAAGGACACTATACTTCGTATTTAGTTTTTTGTTGTTAATAAGATATGAGTAGGCCTTTCTTAATATACTTACTTTAATCAACTATTGAATGATGCGGTAAAGTTGGCTGTATGTATTAGACAGAAGCAATAGTAAAGAAATCAGTTTTAAGATTGAAAAAATGATTTGAAATTTTGAAAAAAAAAATTTCTTATTTGATTAGTCTGCATACCAAGGCGCTATCTATTTCTAGACAACTCTTATATTGAGAAATATACGTACCAAAAGGGAACAATGTGGAAACATAGTTTTCTCACTAAAGCTTAATTGGTAAGTATTAAGATCAGAAAACTGTTAAGTAGTGGCACTTTTATTAAATTGCAATAAATGTAAATATATAAGAACTTAACTTATGAGTATTAGGTTGTCATATAATCCTTGAGTGGATTCTTTTAATACTATTTTTAAAGCATATAAACAAATTTTAGCTTGTTTTAATCTTTTTGGGTTTCGGTTTTGTATGACATAAGGCCATTATGACATAAGGCACCATCTATTTCATCTTTTTGTGGTTATTCCCGATGAATGAAGAACACTTACCAATTTTATAGTAAATATTTACAATTTAAATACGTTCAGTGGTTATTAAACGATTTAAATTACGAAATGGCAAACTTTACGTTAAGCATATAATGCTCTTCCTGTTAATTTCTCCACATTTTCAAAAATATCTTCGAACCCTTGAGGGTACATTACAACCCAATTGGGGTAATCCCATATGGATAATCCCATATTGTAGCCATTGTTATACTATGTTCCATATATATGTTAAATACAATTTATTTGTTTGATATATAATCAAATAAAATTTCCGATATTTTGATGAGATATTTATTAATAAATGGTTTTCATATAAAATATTTAACTTAGTTGACAGCTAGTTCGCTGCTTTAAATAAATTAACGAAAAGATTGAAAGCAAATATATAATTTAAAGCATAGGCATATAATACGTAATGCATAAGCATATACCGGCACTTATCACACATAAAATAAACAAGCAGTGACACTTTATCTAAACACTGACGATCAAACGACACTTCATATAAACACAATCGACATATCATCTAACACTATGGTCCGCAGATGTGAAGTCACCAAGTCATACTTAGGCCACAAAATAGCTGGGAGATTTAAAGAGAGTAAGTAGAATTAAGATTTGTTAGGATTTTCAACCCAGAGTAGAGTTAAGATCCAGCAATTGTAGTGATAACTTCAGTTTAATTGAGTGATCCCGTGTTAAGATATAAAAATTAAATAATTTTTATTTTTTAAATAAAAATAAATGAATAAATTAATAAAAATAAAAATAATATTAAATATTAACTTATATAGCACAGACGAACTGTTTATTAAAATATATAATAGAGATAGAGAAATATGGTGTATTGAGATCTACCTTAGATAGTACAAGTTGAAAGTTATGGATGCTATAATATAGCTTTGCTATATAAATGTTTTATAACTATAATTTATAGTTGGATTAGTTCAAAAATTGCATGTCATCACTTTACTATTAAAATTAATTTATTTGCATCATTAAATAGTTTATAACAACACATATGTTTTTAATTGAACAATTATAATTCTCCTATTGTTTGAATACTTAAGCGAATAAATTTCAATTAAATGCGAGCTTTGATATCTCGTATGTTGAAAAGAATTTATTTTAATATATTCATTGTTATTAAATTGCGTTTTCTCCAAATTTTTACAAGTAATGCTGTAAGCATTAAGCTGTTCATTAAAGTGTTTGATTGGAATTCTTATCGCAAGTGAATTTGATTCCAAATTCTGCTTATTTTTTTTATTGTTTAAATTAATTATTTTGACTTCATAATAATTGATTACTATCTGAGATTTTAAGTTTTTTCAATGTTTACAGTATGTGATCAGTTTCTTTTATTCAAAATCTCTATGATATCACAATATTGTGAGTTTCTTAGGTATATGAATGTTAGATATTTTGTTTGAGGTAGCCATGTCCTTCTAAATGTTTATGAAATGTAGTGCATACATTTTATGTGTGGGAAAACAGTTTTTTTTTGTGTTATAAAAGTTATGGATAGGTACACGGTTGCCACTTGAAAATTGTTTCCTGTACCAAAATTGGTTTAAAAAGGTACCATTTCTACAAAAAAGGATCTTTTTTGGACCTTTTTGTTTTTTCGTTCTGTGTTGTTATAGGTATTCAAATATATATGATAGTGTGTGTAAACCAAAACAGGTTGCATCTGCATCAAAACATTACGTTACATCTATTCTCCTAGATAATCCCGTTTTTGATTTGTCCGTCTTGTTGCTAATATTATAAGCAAGTATTACTGTTATTAGTATGAATATTTTCTAATATTCACAAGCATATAGTATTAAGTCTAAAGAGTATCGTAAACTAACAGTAAGTAACTCTATTACATACGATCTGTTCAAAAATTTTGAATTTGGACTATGTCACATTGAATGCTGGTCCAACTTGTAATAATAGGTAACTTCATCTTTTAAAAGTAAATGCTTTTATTTTTTTATATAAATTATTATCATTATCATTAAAATATTATCATTAGAATGTGATGTCTTGCGTACTCCATATGACATTAAATGGATATATTATTTTATATAAATTCGATTATTTTATAAGAATAATTAAGTTAATAAAAGAAATTTCTAGACTTCTGATTTATTACATTTTTGTCTATATAATTTTTTTCTTTGAAAAATATATTCTTTACATACTGTATTGATACTGTTTTAGTGCTATGTTATATTAAACTTGCAAAAATATATTTATTTATACAAAAGATTATTTTCCTTAAAAAAAAACAATACCGGAAAATATGATTCAAAGCATTTTTCACTTTAACCAAAGTAAATGATTCATGAATCAATGCTG